GCAAATGGTATTCAAATACTCTATCCTTATTGCACTTCTTTTTGCTCTTTTTGCTAACTATGCCTTGGCAATCCTTAATCCAGTGAGTCCAGCTCCTGGAACAATTATTGCTACATGCAACCACTTAACAGTCAATTTCGCTTCTACTTTGCCTGGTACAGCAATAGTCAGTTTGAACAAGAGGCTTATTAAAGACAAGCTTGAAATCCATATTGGTTACAACGCATTTTCGCTCTATATTTCCCCAAAAGTCAATCTTGGTTACAACGAAATTTCTATCACCGACCTCGATACTGGATCAAGCATAACATATCAAGTTACTGTTATCAATGGATGCAAGCCATGCAAGCCATGCAAGCCATGCAGCCATTCTTCATCTTCATCTTCTTCCAGCTGCTAATTACTTGAATTTAGAGAAATAAAAATTTAAAAGAATTTATCCATCGTTTGCGCCGTCATGGTTGTTTATTGCAGCAATTTATTGTCGAGTCGCTGTTTTAGCTCGTCCTCTGTGGTCATCAAGGGCTGGGTGCAGACGGTTAGAATACACAAAAATGTTGCATTTTTGCAAATGCATGATGGATATTCGTCAATGCAAATTGTTGTCGATCGGCCTTCGTTGGCAAAGAACATCCATACCGGGTCTTCTGTTGAGGTTTGTGGAATTCTTAAAACATTGGCACCATGTAAATCGGAAGTGCATGCAAGCTCTATTTCAGTGATTGGCGCTTCACCGCCCCAAGTAAGTGTTTTAGGATTCCGTCATTTCTGCCCTTATTTCGATTATATTGCGTTGCGTTGTATTGTATTACGCTGCGTTGCGTTACGTTACGTTGTATTGTATTACGCTGCGTTGCGTTGCGTTGCGCTGCGTTGCGTTGCGCTGCGTTGTATTTCTTTGTGCATTTATCTTTTAGGATTATCCTCTTCAAAAGAAAATACATACAAACGAGTTTTTGAGATCCATACCTCATCTTCGATGCAGGAGTTCTAAATTCCAGAAAATGCTGCACACTCGGTCTATTTTACACAAATCTCTTTCCGATTTTTTCCATAACGAGGGCTTCCATTACTTCCATCCTCCGCTTTCGACATCTTCCAATTGTGAAGGTGGCTCTGCTGTGTTTTCGATGACTCCCAAAATATTTGGGCCAAACGAAGTCTTTTTAACTGTTTCGTCTCAATTGCATTTGGAAGCTGCTGCAGTCGGATCACTAAATCGCGTGTGGACGCTTTCTCCTGCATTCAGGGCGGAGTCTTCCGATACAAGTCGCCATCTTGCTGAATTTTGGATGTTGGAGGCGGAGGCGTCGTTTGTTGATTCAATTGAAATCTTGGCTGATATCATACAAAGATCAGTTAAGACCAGTGCAAAGACATTGTTGAGTTCAAAAGTATTTGATCAAAGCAAAGATGACCTGGAACATTTGCTCGCTTTAGAACATGGTGTTTTCGAAATTATTTGTTACTCTCAGGCGATCGAAATCTTATCCAATCTTAAAGAAGAAGCTGGCGCGAGCGTGCCTATAAAATGGGGAGACAGCCTGAGTTTTGAGCAGGAGCAGGCGCTATTGGATTTTATGATTCTAAAGAACCCCCAGGTTATTGGGATCTTTATTAAGGAATATCCAGAACATGGAAAGCCATTTTATATGAAGAGAAACTCAAATATCGTATTAAACTTTGACCTGATTGTCAAGGGCGTTGGGGAGCTTGCCGGCGGCTCCATTAGAGAGGATTCGTTGAATGTTCTACACGAAACCATAGCAAAGCTTGGAATAAATCAACAGCCGTTGCAATGGTATCTTGATACCAGGAAATACGGAAGTGTGCCCCATGGCGGCTTCGGTATTGGCTTTGATCGCTTGGTTCAATGGTTTTTGAGAATCCCAAACATCAGGGATGCAATTTTATTCCCAAGGGCAACGGGGGCACTTTTTGCTTAATTGCAGCGGCAGGGTAAAATTTTGTTTAAATTAAACACCTAAAATCGATGAACCGAATAGCTCCAACAAAGGGAGCCAACAACACTATCAAGCCCATTTTTTATATAATGGCCTTTGCAGGAATATCGGGATATTGCATGCACTATTCTCACATGAGTATCGAATATTCGCTTTCTTTATGTAGAGCATAACCGCGATGAGCGTGAACAGGCTAGGAGGGAGGGTAGACATGTCCCCTTCATCTAGGCGAATATAGAAATAAAATTTATTGTCCACAACGGAAACTTTGCTTCCGCCTTGGAGGCCTCAAATGATGGAAGCTTCACCAGTATACGTGCGTACACTCGATCGGTGCCCATTTGAGGCCTGCTCAGCGGTCCACATTTGGGATTTGTCGATGCGAGCGATGCACATTTGGGATTTGTCCATACGGTGTGGTCCACATTTCATCGCAACGCCTGAATTTAAATTTTACAACTTATTGCAATTTTTAGTTATGATAAATCGACTCTTATCAGGTTCTTTCGCCGCCGCTTCCTCGTCGTCTGTCACGGGTGCTAGCAGAAATGCCAGACAGCCCTCGGCACCAGCGATCAAACACTCGGCAGCGGCAATGATCATTCCCTTCAAATTGAATATCAAGGATTTTGAAGGGTGCGATGGCTCTACCATTATGATGGAATGCCGGATTTTCAACGACACCATCCTCGATGTGCGTCAATGCTGCAATTGCCTTACCCGCATCTTTTACTTGTGTTTCGGAAACGCCGCATTCAAAGGAAAAACGGCTAACGACCCCAAATTGTCCACCATCGGCATATCTTTGCTGATTAACGAAACGCAGGCAACTTCGATTTTCTTTTGCATCACAAAGGCCTTTCAATCGAAAGATGTATTGCACCTTTGGGTTTTAACTTTAGTTATACTTGAGACGGCTTTTATATTTGGCCATTAAATGCCTGTCGCCTTATGCCAATGACATTTTGATGGTCATCAGCAGCATCACCCAAGATATCTCGTCTCGAGCAGATATCGTTTTCAGAGCAAATTCTCTTCGTGTCCTTTCTCGCGTGATCGATGTAACTATTTGGTCTAATTTGAGTTTAGATTTCTATGCTTCAAGGGGTCGAGAAATTCGTCAAGCAGTCCCTGATCGAGGGCTCCTCTACCCTCTCCAGTGCATCTTTAATCTCATCAATATTTTGGTTTTTCAAGAGCGAGGGTACGCTCCACCACGAATCTATTAGGCGTTGGATATCTTCTGTTATCCCGGCAGATTGGATTGCCCCAGAAGGGATGAGCAGATTTCATGCTTTGGCTCTGGGGTATCTTTTGCGGCAAAACGACAAGGGCAGCTTGAGAAAATTGCTCTCCATATACGCTCCATTTATGCAGATTTCAAACACAAATCCAGCATCCATGGCTCTGGTGGTTCTGTTGATTCAAATATGCGCGCATATTGGGCTTTCTGAGGCAGAGTTTTTACCTTCTTGGAAGTCTTTGCTCACATCGAATAGCGGAAAAGAAATGGTGGCACTGGAGGTTTGTTCCTTGCTTGTTAATCCATCCATAAAATCGTCTGAGGAGGACAAAATTGCTTGCGTCAAACTCTCCATAGCTCTGTTGTCTTCTTCAAACTCGGTGATCCGATATTCGGCAATCAGAGTCCTTTTAACGCTCGCAACACACCGGCAAGACTTGCTAGCCAAAAGCCAACAGGACATCGAATCTTTGATTGGGGATCCCAATCGCTCAGTTGCCATCATTGCGGTGACGATTCTTTTGAAAATCGGGAACGAGTCAAGCATTGATCGCATTGTACCGCATCTGAAATCATCACTGTCCGAAATGCCAGAAGCCTTGAAGAGAAGCATCCTCGATGCAATGACCACGTTGGCGGTTCAATTTCCTGCCAAGGCCTCCAATATTATCGGGTTTTTCTCATCCAGGCTTAGGGATGAGGGCGATCACTCCCTCAAAAGGTTGCTAGTTTCTTCGATTGACGAAATTATCACATCAATTCCATCAACCGCTGAAGAGGGTACGTTGGGGGGTTTTATCATTTAGTGCTCTCTTCATTGTGCGAGTTTATTGAAGATTGCGAGTATCCTGACGTGGCGTGTGACGTGCTTCATATCATTGGACGGGACGGCCCTAAACACCCGAACCCCATTCTGATATTAAGGCACGTTTTTAATAGGCTGCTTTTGGAGGTCTCTACCGTAAGAATGGCTGCTCTGGGTACGCTGATAAAATTTGGAAGCGAGTTGGAATCATGTCGTGATCTTGTGGTGCATTTAATTAAGCAAAGGTTCGCAATCATTTCGCATTCCCCTACTAGATGCCTACAGGACGAAGACGTTGAAATCAGAGACCGAGCATTGATCTTCATCAATTCGATCAACTTCAAAAGCGGCGATATCTCCTCTCTGTATGACGAGAAGATTATCGACTTGGATTTGCTGGAACAAAGAGCAAATTTAATCATTTCCGGGAAATCCTCTTTGCAGGCGCTTGAGCAAGACGCCAACGTGAAGAAATCTTCAATTGTCGAATCCATAAAGTCTTTATGTAAATGTAACCGTGCCGCTGCAAACGCCGTGTCTTCTTTGGTCGGCAAGACGCTGGCAGATCCATCATCGACCTCGCCAAGCAAGTTATCCTTTGTCATGAATGAAGATATCCTTCTGCCACTCTATGGATGTCCCATGGACATTGGCTCGTTGATCCACCAGAGCCCAGCGGTGCCACTCACAGAGCCGGACACCGAATATATTGTTACGGTTACCAAATATTTGTATTATTCTGCTCTTATTCTGCGATTTTCGTGCACCAATACAATCACGCACATCCATCTGGAGGACCTCCACATTAATATTGAATTGCCCGAGCAGACATGCAACCTGTTTGATGTCAAATCATCCTTTATCCCGAGTCTCAAAGGGGCATTGGACTACACGACGTCCTCCTCATCGTCCCAGGACCTCTATTATGTTTTTGTGCTAAAGGAGTCAAGCGATATGCTTACCGTACCGCTAGGGACGTTCCCGGCCCGCATGTCCTTTTCCATGCGAGAGGTTGATTTCATCGCAGGCGAGTTGGCTCCCATTTCTGTCCCGGATCAATATAAGGTAAATGATGCTGTGGCTTATGTTTGACAGCTGTTTGATGTTGAATTTTCAATCTCAGACTATTTGATCCCCAATGCCAGCGGCAAGGAAAATGCCTGGGCATCAATGCCGCCTTCCTCGGAGAAGAAAATCGTCTTCCAAGTCGGATCTTTCGCGGGCAGCATCCAAATGCTAATCGATAATATTCACTCGAGCATTGGAGGCACCCTCCGTATGGTTGAACATAGCGACGCACCAGCTAATGTCTCTCCATTTATCATTGAGGGCTCTTGGCTCGGAAGATCCTCGATCCTCATCAGGGGGAGGGTGGGGGCTGTCGCCCAGGGCGCATATGCTGTCGAGCTGATTTCAAGGACAACCATGCCATCGACCACGCTGAGCGAGCTTCTCCTGAGTGCTGTATAAAGACACATGTGTGAACTCGAGTACGAAATTTACTAAACTGTCACCATTTAGTGCCAATGTGTTGGTGCAAACCGGCCAACCAACGAGCAACTTAAATTTTTGTACACATAAATCCGCCCCCCCCATTTACACAGTACAGCGGGCACCAAACATGGGAGTCTGCAGTTTACAGATGGTCATTTATCATAATGAAGGTGGTAAATAAAGTTATTCTTTTTTCTCGTCTGGAAAGATCTTAATCATATCGTCAATTCGGAGGATCGAAATGGCAGCCTCCGTGGCTGCCTTTAAAGCTTTCAGCTTGACCATGGTTGGCTCTAAAACACCGGCCTGTGCATTATTTCGAACCGTGCCTTGAATCAGGTCGAGCCCCATATGAGGCGAATTGGTCGTCAACAGGGGGCCAGAGACACCCGTGGGATTCTGTTGGTTCTTATAATGAAATGCCCTAAGACGGCCAATCAGTTCGGTAGAATCCTTTCCTGCATTGAGTGCAAGCGATTTGGGAATCGTCAGAAGCGACTCTGCAAACTTGGCAATAGCAAGCTGCTCGCGCGAGCCAATCGACGATGCGAATGACTCCAAAAACACAGAAAGGGCAGCTTCGACTGCACCACCGCCAGCAACCACACTTGATGATTCAAGTGTGCGTTTGACAACACACAGGGCATCGTGCATCGATCGTTCCATCTCATCAAGAGCAATACTTGTGGGACCACGAAGGATGATCGAGGCAGCTCCCGTTACGGCCGATCCAGTCTCAATCAAAAGACACTCATCAGAGGCAAAGGTCTTCAAATTGATGCTTTCTGCAGTGCCAAGCGCACTGGCATCAAAGGCTTCAGTGCCTTCCAGTGTTGCTAGAGTTGTTAGCAGAGTGGCCCCGGTAAGCTTGCAAATTCGCAGGATATCTTCGCGCGCAACACGTCTTACTGCAATTGCACCTGCTTCAACAAAAAGCTTCATTGCCATATCGTCAATTCCGCGTGTTGTTAAGACAACGTTTGCACCGGAAGCAAGAACCTTTTGGATACGCTCACGGGTCAAATCGATTTCACGCTTCCTAATATCTTCCAATTTATCTGGATCAGATACCAAAACATTGACCCCAAGTGGAAGCCTAATCCTTTGCAAGTTAAAGTCGAGACAAGCAATGCGGGCATTTTTGATGCTGCTCTTCATAGCCGGGGACGCAGCGACGCAATTGAGCGCATATCCGTTCACCAGAAATGAATCTAGTTGACTTTGGCCGTGAGCCTTTAAAATGGACACGCCATTAACAGGATATTTGAAGGCGTTTTTGGATGAGCCTCCATCAGCGGGCGTGCGAACCGCCATTATTGCATCTGCAGCCATTTTGGCGAAAAACGATGAAGCTTCCTCGTCGGGAAGGCCACCAGCACCAAGTATCTTTGAAGACAGGCAGGTACGTGCTACGTGGATCAAGGTATCTTTTCCAAGGGAATCGACCGGAATGGCCAGCTTTTCTGCTATAAATTTGCAGGATTCGCGAAGTGCCAAGCGGAAGCCAGAAATAATTGTGGTAGGATGGATCTTTAGCTTTATGAGCTCATTGGCTTGGCGCAATAGCTCGGCTGCTAAAAGAACGACGGAAGTCGTTCCATCTCCAACCTCTTTGTCTTGAAGACGAGACATCTCCACAAGCATGCGGGCCGTCGGATGCTCAACTTCAAGCATGCTTAGAATGGTCGCTCCATCGTTAGAAATTGTCACCTCGCCAAGCTCGTCAACGAGCATCTTATCAAGACCGACCGGGCCAAGGCTAGATTTCAAAATATTAGCAAGAGACTGCACGGCGGTAACTAGTGGAAAAGTTAATCATTAAAATGCCAACCATTTTGTGCTCTGACAGCGCTTCCAGAGATGCGCTCTCCGCCAATGGGCAGGGGCCCTGAACTTGAAGTTGTCCCATTCATCGAAGAGGAGAGCATAGCAGGAATTTGAAGAAATAATTGCAATCTGCAATTAAAATTTATTGAATCATCAATTTAAGTTGCAATTTTACTTGCCCGATAGGCGTCGGCCAGCAATTGAATGTTGCCGGATTTGTAGGTGTCTGGAAAATTGAATATTCCAGAAATCCCCAGAAAGCCCTTTATGATCTGAACCATGATTGTAAGCTTGGGCTTTTTCAAGTCAACCACGAACCTTTCCATATTGGGACCATGATGGCTGGCCATGAGCGAGGCAATGATTTCCTTTATGGAGTCTTTGGAAATGGTATCGTTTAGCCGTTTCTCGACCACCACTGCGTACTAGAAATAGGGGGAACAAATTCAAACCATTATAATGCCCAGCGACTGGTCGCCACTTGATCTGCCCCCAAAAATGTCGGGATGTAGCTCTGTAAATTTCGGCCAAATGGCCATCAGTGCGTCCGGGGAAGCCCTGCAGCTTAGTTCTATAGGCACCAATCGTTGCCCGTGTCTAAGAGTGCGATCAGCCAGCATATTGGTACCTCGAATGCTTTACACCGGTGTTTAAAGCTCTCTCCCAGATTCTCAATGTCAACTCCAAGGGTAGTTGCTTTTTGGAGGGCTCATTTTGGTTTGTGGGCTTTGCAAAGATTATACACTTGACATCACCCATTCCAGCAAGCGAATAAGATCCTTTCTTTTGCGATCCAAGCGATTTTAACTCGTTGTCAAAGGCATCACTAAATGAGGATGTCACGTCGGGCTTTTGTTCGTCATCCCCACATTGGTCTTCACATTCGATTGATATTATATTCATAAGCTCGCCGGAGATGGTGTGCTCCCTGCCTTTAAAGCACGTGAGCATAATGCCGGTATCTCCTGGCCGAAGGTCGAAATTTTGAATTCTCCTCTTTTTCATTTTAAAAAAGCCGAAATAAAAAAATTAAACGCACTGCCAAGTTTAGTGCTAGCGCATTTGACCTTTACCTCATGGAGCACCGATGTATGCTACATATGCTATGTTGATGGAATGGTTTGGTTTGCAAAAATGCCCCTGCATATCGATGATATTTAGCACGAAGGCGATTTAAATTTTAAATTTAATGAGTGCCATCTTCAACTTTCAATCTCTTCTGGTAGTTATCATGCTCCTTATTGCAACGTGTTCCTACATAACATCATATGCTTCAACGTTTATTGGAAATAGAAAGGAATATGGAATATGGGCATTTATATGGAAAGGGTCTAGGATTGGTGATCGCTGCAGCCTGTGGATATCTATCTCCTGTTTGGCTCTTTCAGTGAAGGTTTTGGTTTCTTGATGGCGATTGCAAATAAAGATGACAGTTTATGCATTAATTTATATAATTGGAACCTGAACCATCTTGGCGACGACTGTCCATGCCAAGGGGCCGCGGTGTGGCCGAGGGCCTCCGATATTCAACAATAGACGGCCTATGGGGAGTGCCTCTGTTATGCCGAGGGCCGGGAGACAATCTTCGTTTAGAAAATGCAGATTTAGACGATAATGATCTTCGAGGGGCAAAGTCGTCATTTTCAGGCCCCTTGCGCAAATATGCGACCTCGATATCCATGCCATCGATCTGACCCCCATCCATGCATTCGATAGACAGAGCAGCAGCCTTCTCGCTGCTAAAGTTTATAACTCCGCTTCTTTTATATCTCCATTCTCGGTCGCCATCATCGATTTTGATACAATTTATTATCCCAAAAGAGGAAAAGATATCCCTTAAATGCTCTGTGTTAACATTTCTAGTTAATCCCTTTACAACGATATCCATGGGATTATTTCTTTCTGGAGAGTCTGAAAAAGAAGATGAAGACGATAACAAGGAGCACACGCTTTCCCTAGAACACGATCTGGGAAGGGAGCGAGGAGAGCTTTCCAATGACCTACCTCTGGTCATATTAAATTTTGTAAAATTGATGCAGAAATTTAAATTTATCAAATAAAAGCCAGGGTTAGGCCCAATCTATACCGGCACACGTGTTGGATTGCTCTTGATTTTATTTAGAATTTAATGGGATCCGCGGTTCGAAACCACGTAACGTCACAGCATAGTTAATCCCAACAGGAGGATCATTTTTTAGGATGAAAGAACCTCCATCATAAGTTTAAAAAAGCTTGAAAGTGAAGATGGGAAGAATACCGCCAAAGCAAACCTCGATAATTCTGATAAAGCTGGGCAGCAATTTGGTGGGCCACCGGGGCCAGAAACAACACGATATGGCGATTTGGAAAAAGAGAACAACGCCCAATCTTTACAAATTTATCTCAAATTTGGAGGCGTCGATGGAATGTAGTCTTCATTGCTAAATGATGTGAAAGAAAATTCCGAAGATTTCTTTTGTTTTTTAGCGCGCGGACATGCGGTGGATAGGGGGGATTGTGACATATCCCATGGATTTGTGGGTGTGCTTTCAGCAGAAAGGGGGCTGATATCTGATAAATCAAGCGTCGGATCGGCATTAAAAGCATCAATCGATGATCGAGATATAGTTGGATTTGTCAATACATCGCCGTTTGTGTGCAACAAAAGCCCCGATGATATGCTGACATTAGTTTTAAATGCGAGAGCTTCATATTCAACAGGATATGTAGCAATAACAACCTTCACGTGGCACGAGGCAGAAGAGGAACAGGGGGAGGGCGTTGAAATCAGAACCATCGGTCTAAAATAGTAAGTCATGTATAAAAAATACTCCAAAGATTGCCCAAAATGTAGCGTAAGCAGCCGGTTCGAAAGTTGGCGAGAAAGCAGGCATAAGAACTACGATAAAAGGACCCCCATACCTTGCAAGCTTGAGTTGCCATTAAAAAATCGATCGACTGGTCACCACTTTCAGAGATGATCGTCAAATTTCGGACCTCTATTCTTGTCTCAGTTTCCGGTATCTCCAGAACAAGTGTCGAGTTTTCAGAGGAGCAAGAGCAACGAATGGAGTGACAGTCATTTTCAGATGTCGCAATCAGAGGGGTAAGCCATTCGTTCAAATCTGAAGGGTGCTCCATTTCAAGACACAAAGGGAATGCACAGAGTGGACGTCTTTCAGAAGCATGCTTTGGGGTAATTCCAAAATCCTCAATGAACAGCGATGCCCTTTTGAAGAGTGAAGACGTGCATTGCAGTTCAAGAGTCAAAGCTGGAACCGTAAGCAACGTATCAAACGAGATTGTAAGCACGGTGGCCGAATGCTGTCTGACTTGCAATGCATCCAACAGCGACTAAAAACCGAGAAAGAAAATACAGTTACTTTTGTCGACAGTCGAATGACAAAGGGGAACTTTTTGTAGGCATAATTCAAAGGAGAAAGATTATCCAGATCGTACTCAGCAACATATCCATTGCTGTCGCAATGAAAAGAGCACAGTATGAAAGCAGAAAAATTGTCAATTGTCGAGGCCAATTGGAACTGGATGATGTAAATAAGCGATGCAGTACCTTCCGAGGCCACCATTCCAAGCAAATCGTGTCTGATAAGTGAGATATCAAAAATACAGATTTGATGAAATCTAAAAGCCTAAATACGAGCGTGCTAACCTTTTATTGCAGACGCCAAAAGAACAGCCCTCAACACCGGCATTATTGCAATTCAAAATTAAAATATAGAATCTCGCTCGGGTACATGATCAGTTACCACCAATAGCTCTGCTCCAATGCTAACCCTACAAGTTACTCGTATATTCTCTTTTAAATGCGAAAAAACAAAGTCTGTGGTATGGATAATTGAAAAGTTAAAGGGCCGATTGCGGATGGCACAGATATCAACGAAGCAAAGACTTGATGGGCGGGCTTTTTGGAAAGAAAAATCAAAGAATAGGGCCAAGTTCAAAGCAGCACAACATCGTGAAAATGCGGCACTGTAATTACTTGCATCCGCTTTGTTTTCAATGTAAGGCCGCCAATCCGCAAAACTAAAGCTGCGCTGCATAAAACTCCATAGATTACCCCGATATTTTGATAGCAAGTTTCTGGGCGCAATGGCCAACAAAATATTAAGAGCCGTTCCGAAAATCTTTGACGGTACGCTCTCAATGGGCATTGGCTTTCTATCCGCAAATACTTTGTGCAAGTAAGAACGAAATCCTCCACTGAATCAAAGCTTCTGAAAAAGATGGGCGGAATAACAACCAAGAAACGCTTTAAGCGACGGCTACACGCTTGCCATATAAATTTTGGAGCTTCATACCGGGGATTTATTGGAGTTGCAATTAGGTGCGGGCCTATAATACACTTCAACTCGATTGAAATAAAGCTTTCGTATTGATACTCGCAAGTCCATCGGTCACTATTCAATGGTGCCGTAATGACCAGGACAAGAACGTTGTATAAAGAACCGCATCGGTATCAACTCGTTTATTTATCATTCTAAATTCGAGATTTTCTCTTTAACGTGCTTGTCAAGCAAATCAACCCCTTGTAGCTGAAGCTTCAAAGCCTCCAGCTCTTTCTCCAGTTCTTTAATTAGGTGTTGATGGTGCATTTGCGTTAATTCTTTAAATCTCGATAATACTCCCAAAGATGCAGCATGTCCATAAAGCAGTCTGAATCTATCGGCTTCTAAGCTGGCAATCACAAGGGGGTATAGGTTTTCTTTAGCATCAGGATGGAGTATCAGGTCCAATTGCTGAACCGGATTAAGCATAGAAAAAGAATTCACCGTGATAAAGGTGAAAAAATGGCGAGTTCTCTGAAATGCCATCCAAGCTGGCTCGACGAATGTTTTTAGGGCTCTTGTAACCATCCAAGATCCGCCATCATAGAGGGGGTATAATTTATCTTGAGAAAGCGTAGAAAACCAGTTTTCAGGAATCGATTTCCACGAAAAATTATCCAAAGAAAGTTGGAGCCGTTCCAGTAAGTAGGGCCACCCGGGGACCATAGTGAGATGCTCGACACAGATCCTTCTAACTGTTGGCTCCAAAGGCGGCAAATCGCCTCTTCTCAGGTTGGCCAATGTTTTTCCGCCAACAAGCAGGTCGAAAAAATGTTGTTCTGCGCCAGAAATACGGAAAAGAATCTTAAAGGCTAGCTCTGGGCTAGTCTCGATCTCCTCTGCCGAAGGCAGGACGCCAAATTTGAGAAAAATCTGCTCCACCATTATTGTCTCAATGAGCGTGATGAACGTGGTCGAATAGTTTCCTGGATACCTCGGCAACTTATCAACGCCCCATACAAATTCGTTTAATGCTCGATGAAGAATAAACCCTGTCCGTCGTGCCTGAATGAGCGTATCAATTCTAAATCCTTTAGCGAAAAAGCTATGTTCCAGATCAAAGTAATGGGTGCCAACCCACTGGTTTACAATTTCGAAATCCGAGTATTTCTCGTTATCTTTCGAATTTTGAGGACGTATTGATCGCCAAAAATCTCTCGGCAGCCAAGACCGAACATATTCATTATCGCCTCGGAGAAAATAAGAAACGCTTTCTTTCGAAGAATGAGAAAGTTGGATTAAGTTTGAAAATCTCAATCCAGATAAAAGCGGGGCATCCAGCTCTGAAAATGAAAAGAATGTGCCAGTGATCTGGGACAGGTCTGCTTTAGAAAGGATCACGGCATAACATTTACTGAAAATAGACAATTTTTTTTCAAAGTCTCTTAAAAGTTTTTTGGACACAGGGGGAATCTTCCCAACATGCAAAAGGGAAGATTTTTCCAAGCGATGCGAGGTCTTGGAAGATAATGGTGTTTTTTCAGAGTTTGGGCTCCGGTAAAGAATCCCGAGCGGCAAAGGGGTCAGCGAATTTACCAAAAACGAAGCGGTTCCTCCGGCTTGTACCCATTCCAAAAGATCCAATTTACCACATGTCTCTGGTGAGATGAAAACCGAATAATGGGAGTAAAGAGGTTTTTGCGGAGGGAAGAGCGCGGAGACTCTAGAAAAATCTACATCATGCACGGGTTCCTGATAATATGAATGGAGGTCATCTATTTTGTTCCAATAGAGAGCCATCCTGGCAGCTTGTGACATCGGGCCATCATATTTCTGCAAAAAAAAGGGAAGACGTTCGAGGTATTCGCCAAAATTGGCCTTCATCAAGGCCAACATTCGTTCAGCCGATGTATATGAGAATGAAAACTCGGCTGTAAGACCCCCTTCTAGCTCCACTTCTGAATAAATGGAGGAGGAGGAGGATTCTGTATCATTTCCTTCAGCATTGTTTACAAGGAAAAGCGATAGGAGAACCATAAGGCTCAAAAGAAGACATCTCATTGCCATCATTGAGAGGTATGCGTCGTTGACCCTGTGCTTATGTAGAATCCGTTTGTGAGCATGGATAAATAGGATTCTTTATCAACTGTCAAACAAGGCATAAAAGTGAGTTTATTTCATTTCATTTCATTTTATATCCAGCCTCCACAATTGAGACAGGAAAATAAAACATTAATTGCACATGCACCAAAGAACGGTAGCACAAGTTTTTGCGATTGGGCTTGCCAATTTACATGGACACCAATCAACGGGCCAACCAAATTGTATTTTTACTCCTGTCTTTTTGCTAGCATTAAGGTACGATTGGCCAGCCCCAGGCTATGTGTTTGGTATAAATAAATTTGGGTGTGATTGGCCAATTTCAGTAATTTGTTGACTATTCCAACAGGTTTTTCATTTGATGGTTGATTTATAATGCCCAAGTTTGCAAATTATATTTTTACAGATGAGGGACCATCAAGACACTGCAAGATGCAGCCTGGCCGCCGGAATTTACCATACCGACATTGAATCTGCGCTTGCACGGCTGTATGGATAGGCCAATCGCTAACGTTTGTAGGTCTGCAGTCAAGAAGGGCTATCTTCGTGATGGGTATATCCACAAGTTTATTCCGGAGGATGCCCTTTCATCCTTTCAATGCAAATTACCGATTTTCAATAGAGGTTTGCTTCTGAACAGCTCAATTTTAGGTGCATTTGTGCGGGCGTCTTTTTTTGACCAAATTGTTAGGGAATTTTTGTCCTGCAATGGGCCACTTCCCTGTCAGATTGTTAATTTGGGATGCGGGTGGGATACGCAATGGCTGCGCCTGCATGTATTGTTGCTTGGATTTGCTGATATTTAGGAAGAACACATTGGCTCGCTCTCCTTTTTTGACATTGATTTCCAGGAAATCATTACCTCCAAGTTGGAGCGTCTTGGAAAAGATTTCGAGTCCAAATGTAGCGCGCAAAATTCAACATCAAGTAAGACACATTTGGTTGCTAACATAAAAAGGATACATCCCAATTTCTGGAGACTTGAACCAGTTCATCGAGCATATAGCCCCTTCGCTTTTAAAAGAGGGATTCGACCCTGCGATTCCTACTCTTGTAATAACAGAGGTCGTTTTAATATATCTCAGAGAAAAGCCAACGCTCCGCATTCTCGAGTGGTTTTCGTCCACTTTGAAAAGCCCATCCATCGATATAAATGAATCTTCGCCTCTCAAGCAAGAGCATCCCAAAGCGGCGCAATCTCCCAATGGGCTTTTTGGAGTTACATTACACAAAGGCAGATCCTATTTTATAACGCTCGATCCAAGCTCGTTCTCTGACCCGTTTGGAATGATGATGATAAAAAACCTGGAAAGTAGTTCGATTTACCTTGTTAACGAGCTCTTGCTTTCTGGCCGCTCTAAATTCGAGGGTTCCTTGCGATCGATTGATTGGAAAGTTTTGAACGCCTTTACCATGAGAGAGGCCTATGAAAAATACATTTCAAAAGACGAAAAGAAAAGGATATCTCTCCTGGAATGGGTGGATGAGCTGGAGGAATGGAACCTTCTCAGCTCCCATTACTATTTTTCAGTATTTGTTCTGGAAAAAGCGAATGACACCTGATTTCAAAAACGATAAACATACAGCTACTGGTCTTTTGGGGGAGAGAAACCTCTCATTACACACGTAAATAAAAGTTAAAATGATGGACTTTTGCCAATTTTGGACACACAGCTGATTGGATTACCGAAAATAGCGCAGCCTAATTTTGGTTGGCTTGCTTAAGAAAGAATTCGATATCTTGAAACGCCATATCACAATATTTTCTATACTCAGAATGAGAGCGAGGCCTTTTATAGCCCCGTAGCTGAGAAACCATTTGTAGCTCCGGACCCTTGGCAGCAGAATCTGTAAATTTTGGCTTTCGCGCTAAGACCTGACTCGGTGTATCTATATTTTCAGATAATATCCAGGCGTGGTCTGAAGATTTAGATAGCCTTCCAAGCAAAGTTTGACAAACGTCATAATCTTGCTGTCTACAAACTTTGTAAAAGATATTTGAAAATGTAACTCTAGACTCGATGTTTTCAACATTTCTATTGGCCGAATTCTGCATGGAAAGATTTGGAAATGCAGACAATAGCGAAGAATCCACACTGGACCTCTGAAAAACCTTTTTGCAAATAAACAACAAAAAATCCAATTTTATGGCACCATGGCACGAGAGGGCCTTCTCCAATTGTGCCCCAATTGTAAAATTCTCATCCATAGTATTTGAGAGAGACACATCGGCTATCGAAAGTTTCATCGGCATATCCGCATTTTCGGCGACATAAATAGACCATGAGAATGGAGGCAGCAACGAATGAATGTTCTGCAATAAATCGGCAGTTGAAAACTTTGAAGATGCATGTTCGAGCATAGCCATCACTTCGCCATTCAACACATTCATGATTTGCACAACTTTTGTGTTTCTGACGAAAACGCCTTGCGGCTGCGACACAAACTTGTCTGGATGAACACGCTGAATGAATGAACGGAACGATTTCTCGAAACTCTTTTTTGAAATTGTGGACATCATTAAAAATTGGCGTCAAAAATTAAATTTTATTTTCATTTTTTCCTCCTAATGCAGGGTGCATCACCAGCCGGCGAGGATTATACTTTGACCCTTTCATCTAGGCTGGAGCGGTTTCAAAATCTGAAAATCCAGAGGGTATTTGATGCGTTTTAAAGTGCATAGGAAAATGCCCAGGCCTGCAATCTAGAAGAAGTCAAGAAGGAAGACATCGGTCGTCAAAAAAATAATCCTCGGCTTGTTGCCCGTTTGGCGAGGAAACATCAAAAGTTTTCAACCATCAAGGCCAAACGAGATGCCCAAAAAGCCAATGTCTCCTATGAGCGTATCAGGTCGCATCAATATTCGATTGAAGAATCGGACAGTTGGAAGGACCATTTACGGAGGAAAGCCGAAAGAAAGAACCCCGAATATGCAGGTAAGTATTTTCTGCTTTTTTCAGATTATGGCGATCTTGCTAAACGGAAATATGACAAGCTCGTTGCAAACTTAAAGCCGGACTTTGCTCTGTACAGACAACAAACACCCACAGATACAATAGACCCATTTACGACATTTACACCGACTCGAGAAAATGTTTCCAAAATGGTGGAAGATGTATATGAACAAATTGAGAAGCGCTCCACTTTCTCCAAGAAGAAGCGATTCAACCCCGACGCGGACGTCACCTACATCAATGAAAGAAACAAAAGGTTTAACGAAAAAATATCCCGTGCATATGGCGCAATTACACAAGAACTCAGAGAATCGGTAGAACAAGGTCCTTACTTGGGACGAATTAATCAGCATTTACACCCGAAATTTGGCGATACTGAGGAATAAATTTTAATTTCAATTTTAATGTGCAATGGATCGAACCGTAAATTGGAATCGCACCAAAACTCGAGAATTTGATTTGTCCATTTCCTTTCGAATGGCATCAAAGATTGCTACTTAGCCACATCAAGCATTGACGAAATATACACTTATACAATACGTAGTAGTTATGAATTTCTTATCTCAGTATATCCTTCTGACGTTCTTGCTATTGGTCTTATATTCAAATTTTATAACATGTACCGAGGTATTGTGTGTGACTATTTCAAGTTATCTGATGGGAAATAATTTCTTTTCAGTTATAAATTTGGCGATTTTATCTTTAGGACTAGCAATTCAGTTATTTTTGAGCAGTCGTTTCATACTCATTTACATAGTGATCTACTTTGTTCAAGCAGCCATCTGCAGCGCTTGCATAAACTCTAGCTAAAAATCAAATATCAATAGGCTTTTAGCGGTATTTACAATATAGAATCCTTATCTATCAAGCCTGGTGTGTGGTAATTGATAAATGTTAACTTAAAACTAAGATATATTTACTGTACTTTTAGGGACTATTGATTCTTTTTGCGTACCATACTTCCATAGTACGTGGGGGCTCTGATTTGAAGAATAAAGAACAGGATAAATGCAATAAAAAACAGGAACAGCAGAATGGTCATCAGACCCATGAAAATGGCCGGATTGAAGATAGAGTACTGGTCGAAAAACGATTCTTGTCCTGAGAACGAATTTTGCGACAGGCGAATGTCAAGATTGACTAATGGGTTGAGGGATGCCCCGAACGTCTGTGACGCGAACAAGGCAATATTTTTGAGAGCATTTGGACACACTTTTGGTGGATTTGCGAGGTTCGTAACTATAACATAAATGTGCAAGCTTGATAGCTTCCAAAGAGGCCCAATGATGGACATGAAAAAAGAGCTGGCTTTAGAAAGATCTTCAAGCGAAATCTTTACAACCCTTAAGGGACGCTCAGTGGCCTCTGCATCGAGCATTTCCTCTAACTTTGATATAGGAGGAAAAGCTACAAAATTAGGCACTTGACACATTACTTTCGGCGGTGTAGTTTTCACGGACAAGGCGGAAATATAGATCCCCATTTGTGTTCGATGGAGAATATTTGTCTTCAAGTGTCTGCACAATTCCGGAAATGCACTTTTCGACGTTCAGCATTGAAGTAGTGCCAATATAAAGGGACGATTTTGCCGCTTGGCTCTAAAAGTAAGGACGTCTTTATACCCTCAGCGAGTTCATAAAGTAGCCATTGCTACTGGACATCAGGCTATCACGGCCAAACTATTTGTAACAAAGCGGTAAATGTACGTCTTTGATATCAAAAACAAAAATAGTTGCATCACTTTCAATGTTTGCGATGTCAGGATGCATCAATTCGACGGAATCCTTGTACGGCAAAGAGGGAAGAATGCGGGTTTTTTTGTTTCTAAAATATAACCAGCAAAAACATACAATGAAGAAACTTCAAGCTTAAGCAGGATAAAAGGATTTCCTAATGAATAACCGTCCAAAATTTCTTCAGAGCTCTTACCCAATGCCCCTTGCATGGAGTGGATTGAGATTAGAAGAAATGCCACCATCAGAACAAAGAGCTTGGGGTTGGGGGGCATGGATTTTAAACTTAAATTCAAACACACTAATGTTTATAGCTTTCAAAATTAAAAATAAGGCTTCTCTGGTTGCAATTTATCCACATCGTGTGGCTTGTTGTGCACAATAAAAGGAACCTTGTTTGTGTTTGCGATATTTATAAAATTCTGGAGTCTTAAAATTAGTCCAGATCTGGATCAGACCCTTCGTTTTGACTTCTCGGTGTTGCAGCGGATACCGAAGTGGATGGGCCTGGGTGGAGCATTCTGCCAATAACATTTGATATTATGTTGGCAAAATTGGGTGCTCTTGGTTGGCCTGGGCCAGCTGCCGTGGAAGATGTCGACGAGGAAATGGAAGCTAAATATCGGGTTTCAACCTTAGTATATAGGCCCTTCAGTTCGTCCGAAAGCCCACTAAAATAGTGAGCACGCAGCTTTTCAAAGCCAACCCTAGGGTCGCTACGCGTCGCCACAAATATAACAAGCTGCGAAAAATTCAACAATGCCGCAACGGATCGATCAGATTCCGTATTTGTCGATTCATCGTGTTCAAAGGCGGCCAGTTCGTACGCAGCACTGGCGGCATTTGAGCGCATTGTGCAGGGAATACGCTCGACAAATGAAATGCGACACTTGTGCTCGACACTGTTGAGGGCGGTGAAAAAGATTGGTTTGATGACACCAGAGCATAACTCATAGGCATGAGAGGTGCCGTTTTTATGGCATAAAATTCTACGCTTAACGTGCAGGTGCAAACCTCAAGATGGCCTGGCAAAGCGTTGTCGCGCCCACAACGACATTATCTTCGAATGCCTTTTCAATGCAACTGATATGCCGAGCAAGGGCGCACGGCCCTGCTTCTCCATAATGTAGGGACGCAAATTCATGGTCAACTAGCAATAAAAATCGGCAAGTGTCACCATTAGATGAGGCATCCATGCTCAAATCTCCAATACACATGTGAACTTTTGCGTTGTTTTTGGACATTCTACGGTTAACATCTCAAAACATCGACTACTTGAAGAGCTGGGCGACAAGAGCACGAACACCGGAATGGTTCAAAGGGAGCGTCGAAAGGACTGTTTTGATTCTTTCTGCATATTCTACATCCAGCCAAGGTTCCTTGAGCATTTCAAAAAGCTTTGATGCCAAGTCAAGGGCGCTTTTGGATTGGCCGGATTCAAAAAGCCATTTGGCCCCTTGAGAGATCACGGTTGCAGCCTCATCATAGCTTGCTTGCTTTATAAGCCTATTGATTATGGTCAAGTAAATTTGATGGGCTTCGTAAAAGTTTTCTGCCGCAATGGCATCATCCAGGCTCCTTTGAAGTGTAACTGAAATTGGCATGGCAGTGGGAAAACAAAATGATTTTCATTTTATTTATTACCAATAAAGTTTAAAGAGCCCGACATGCGGGTCACCTCACCGCCAATTGAAGCAGGCTAAATTTTGGCAAGTTGTTCAATCAATGGCAGCAATTTGCGCCCCGAAAATCTCCCCAAAGCGCCCCCTGGACATGATATCTCGTCAAACGAAGGGACCACGAAGCGTGCATCGCTAACTAAGGAAACCATTGATGGGCCTTTCAATAGGGCCAGTAAAATGGGGACCGGCTCGTTAGAATGGTCACAAAGTGAGGTGGGAGTAGAATGGTCTCCGGTAACGCAAACAAGAATCTATATCGATCAGCTGGTGTTTTGTGTGGTACCTCTTCTGTTTGCGCGCCATCGGCAACGAGCGTCAGAGCAGCAGCAAGTGCTTTGTCAGTTTGCTCGATGAAAAAAATCTATCAAAACGAAGGACATCGCATGCAACTACCTTCTTTTGAAGATCACCGTCATGGCCAGCGTGATCCACAGCCTTGATATGTACAAACGCAAACTGATAGCGGTTGCCAGATTTTTCGAGCAATGTTTTCATTGCCGTAGTGACCTTTAAGTGAAGGTTTGAATGGTAGTCGCCGGTGGCACCTGGGACTTTTATAATATCTACGCTAATTAGGCGGGTGCAAATACCATACCCAGGGCAATGGAACGCCCAATTCCGGAAATGATGCACGTCGGTGCTATCATGAAGCCCGGAAAAGGGAACGGGGGCATTACACATATACTTGCTGCGCCGCGAAACAACACCACATTTAGCGGTGGTAACCCATCTTTGCGCCTCTCTTCATTTAACGGGAGCTCCTTCAACAATCGGGTTATCGATACAGAAATGCAGTTGACCAACTTTCAACTAGAAGCAAACCATTACCTTGCAAGTAAATTCGGCGTCTTGGTCACCTGTCGCTGTCGGCACACAAACTAATAGCGGAAAACTAGGGAAATCGCAAGCGATTGCAAAGTTACTTTTCCTTTAGAGGATCGGTCCCGCTAATTTTGTCTGAAAGAGAAGGCCCTGAGATTGAAATGCCCAGTCTTAAATAAAGGAACAACAACCTACCGGTGCTCCATAGCATACTTGAACGTAATCTTGTGGTTTGGAAAGTCCGGGTGAAAATTTCTACAAGTATAAGTCGAGAATGATACACCTAAGAAATAACAACAAAGCGGCTTTACAAGTTATGCTGCAAATACTCACACAAGTAAGGACCAAGCTCGTCGAAATTTGCCTCCACCCGGCGAGATGTGATCATTTGATCCGCCTCCCTTAGTGTAGCAAAATTGCACTAAAGTTAGCGGCCACAGCAATTACCTTGAATGCAATATCGCCCGGGGCAAGATCAATACCGGCGCCAATGGATTCAAATGCCCCTCGACCTTTATATACTCTAGTATGCTAGTCAAAAAGATCCGATACGTATACGGATCGTATCCAAAAATGCTCAAGTGCGCAGTGTCCGAGCCACACGCGATTCCAGGAGCAACAGGATCCATTATGCCGCAAAGGGCGCCAGACGATGCCAATGCATCCAAGGTCGGTGTTTTTGCCATTTGCATGGGTGTTTTATAGTCAAGCCCATTTTCACAGCCATCAAGGTATGAGTTGTCAGAAAGGCCATCAATCAGCAGGAAAAAGACTTTCCGCATGGAGAGTACGAAATCTGGTTGAAAATTTCGACCGCAAATTGCATTTATTTGCAACATTCCATGGCATCAACAAACATCAAAATAGGCGTCATCGGTGCAGGAAAGATGGGCCAGATGCTTCTGGCTGCGTTTATCAAAGCCGCACCTTTAATTGCATCGATGGAGATTCATCTTTTTGCGAGCACATCCAGCGAGGTCTCCTCCAAAAAGCTTCAATCAGACCCTAGATTTGTAAATGCCGTTACGTTTACCTCAAATGACGAGATTCTTTGCGTTGCAAATTTAATTTTTCTTTGTGTGAGACCACATCAGATTTCGGATATCTCAAAATCCGCACCAAAAAGCTTTGAATTCTTTGGTACGCTTATCAGCATATGTGCTGGGATCTCCATTTGTAAACTGAGCGAACTGTTCCCAAATGCGGCTTCATTTGTTAGGTGCATGCCATCCATAACTTGTCGCGCTTCTTCATTTGCATCTACTGGCCTATTTATCATGCATTCCGAACAGGAAGATCCAAAGTCGTCGCGAGACTCGGTGTTAATAGAAAAGCTGCTAAAGCCATCTGGGGCCATATTTTGGGTCAAAACCAATGCTGAGTTTGACGCAGCCACGGCCATTGGGGCATCGGCACCTGCATTTGCTAGCATCTTTTTAGAAGGACTGGCCGATGGTGCTGTTTCTTGTGGGCTTTCTCGTGTGCTCGCGTACGAGATTGTGGCCCAAATGGTGGCAGGTACAGCGCAATTGATATCTGAAGGATACCATCCATCCATTATCAAGGATCTTGTGTCGACTCCTGGAGGATGCACAATTGAAGGGGTAATCGATCTTGAAGCCAATTCGCTTCGAGGAACCGCGGCCAAATCGATCCAAAAAACAGTCTGGAAACTTTCGCAGCTTTCTTGCAATAAATGAGCGGTCTTTCGCTACAAGGCATCCATGTTTGAAACGACACCGTTTTACCATCATGTAGGGCCTTGCTAAAGTTTAAACCTACCTTCTTGTTAAAATGGATTACCAATGTTTATTAGGTATTAAATAAAGAGCCAGCGAAAAGAGCAAGGATCGGGTTTGTAATCGATGATGTCGGTAATGAAGCTCAAAAAATTGACGGCATAAAGCCCTTAACTCGAAGATTCATTCATTTCAGCGTCACTGATGGCGTTTTGATCAAAAAGTCGACCATTTTCTAATTGCTTTAATCTAAATACTGCTTCCTTCGCGGTCATTCTAGATGCAGGATGTATTCTTAGGAATCCCTTTAGTATTAAAAAGACTTCCTTGCCAAAGCGGTTTTGTACAGATAATGCGAGGGAACGAATGTCCTTAATAATTGAAAGGCCGAATGTAACATTATATGAAGGGTTATCAGCCAAAAACAACTGGGTGTAATTTTGCACGAGTTCTTTGTGCCATTTTTCAGACGCAATGGATGGCCATGAATGGTCGGATGGAATCCTTCCTTTAAACCCAAAAGGATCGCAAACATTTTGAGGGAGCGAAGATGGGGAAAACATTCGGAACATAAATAGTGGGATTAAATCGGTCTGATTCGATTTTACCAAAGGGTGAAAAATCGATCGTGAATTAGAGCATAATGCAAAAAAAGTCAGCCCAAACGACCATATATCCAAGGTGGTGGTAAGCCTATCCTTTGTAAGCGGTAAATAAAGCTCAATGGGCCTATATACTTTGGTCCCCAATCGCGTCAGCGATCTTGATGGGATCGCATACGAGTTGAGCTCTTCAGGAGGCGATAGGTAAGACATCATCCCCAAGTCGATAAATATCGGTTTACAATAACAGAGCTCCCCACTTGGCGTAAAATCGGCGTCAATTAAAATATTCCCCGGCTTTATGTCCAAGTGGCATATACCCATTTCATGGATTTCAACTAATCCTTGGCAAAGGGAAAGAATTATCGATGGCATCAGGTCAGGTATCACATCTTGGACGCTTGGAAGATTCAGGAAATCTGTAATCGTGTATGGAATCCATTCAAAAACGATTGCATGCCGATATTCCGGATATTTTCCAGAAATTTCAACACTTTGCAAGGCCTGGATAAACACGTCGCTTAAAATCCGGCCAAAATAAATTTCTCGAGAGTAGTCGTCAGATCTTTTTTTGTAGCACTTCAAGGCAAAGATGCAATTGCAGCTTGTGTAGTTTACCAAAAAAACATCTCCAAAGGTTCCGGATCCAATTTTTGCAAGCATGCTATAATCTGCTATCAAATGGCTTGGTTGAATATCTTTGCTGCATTTGTATGTTCTTAGAGTATCGGCATCAAGGGTCTTAAGGCTACGGAGATTAAGCGACGACACAAAACTAGATAGGATGGCAGTGTATATCAGAAGGTAAATAAATACAGCCATATCGCAAAAGTGGGGGATTTCGATTATTAAATCAATTAAAAAAGAAAGGACATTTGTCAAAATCAGGAACCAATGATATTTTTTTAACCTTCAGCAGGCATCTTCAAAGTAAACTTTCTCATGCTGATAAAATATATCCCAGTATGATGGTGGTGTTCGCTACAAAAAAGCCCAACATCAGTGATGGAATATGCTACAGGTGCTCCTGCGCTACCGCGCTTGTATTTTCTTATCCAATCTACGCTGGAAGAAGGCCCATTTTCTATCCTTGGGTTGTCAAATTCTGATATCTTATATTTGACCAAAAAGGCCAAAATCCAATCTTTGGCATCAATTGAACGAAAGATTTCACCGGAAGTAACTTTTGGTTTATTATCTGTTAGGTGATCTTGTTCGCAGATACATGGAACCTGCTACTCGACTTTTGGGCTTCTTTTATTACGGAAAAAAACCACAGAGAAAATCTTCAGGCACTATTCAGAAGCTTGGCCTTTCTGCTCCCACTTTTGAATATTGATATTCTATCAAAGTCAAAGAAGGAAACGGAAGTATTTTCTGTGTCTTCGCAAAAAGATCCTAGGATCGTTTTTTCTGGCCGAAAGAAGGTGTTTCAGACGTCCCTTAAAAGGCCCGAAACGAACCTTGCTTTAAAAGAACAAATGCCAAATTTCTTGAAAGTTTCTGTCGCATTTACCAAATTAGCGCCCCATATCATTAAGATCGTTGCTTCCACAATAAATGAGGGAAACCACGAGGCGAAATCTACTGCTGCTAGCTCAAAAGATGCCAAAGTTGTCCATTGGGTCGTTGAGCCTTTTGAAAATCAAGCCCCCGAAATTATATCACCGATTTCGGAGCAAGTGCAGTCTTTATTTGACGAGGTGGAGGGTATTATGCAAGTGGCCAGTTCCGAGTCTGAGCCAAAAAAAGTTGTTGAATCAATTCCTTCCCCACGACCAGAAGAACCGACGCCTGAACATTTAGCTTTCGATGCAGAAGCTCTATACAATGTAAAGTTGGCTATAAATCAGTTCGATATTGAAACAAGAAGGGAATTTGACAAGTTTCTTAATCTGCTAAAAAACGTTTTGCAAGGAATCGTTTCTCCATTTACGGTTCTTGTAGAAAAAGTTCCAAAAGAGCTTATTGAGCTGATGGTTTCTTTTCTCGGGCTGTTGGAAGACATTGTCGGTCCAAACCATATGGACACTTTCAATCTGATTATCAGGTGGGTGATTTCTGGGGCTAGCTTTCTACTGGATGAACACAATCTATCGAATGAAGAATGGTTTGATAACGGATCTACACTCATTAATGAAGGGAAATCTCTTTTCAAAGAGATTTCTTCTTTGTATATGGATCCATGGCTACAAAATTGGATAAAGAGATTCCGCGAGCAATTCAAAAAGGGAAAAGAAGAGCTATCAGCTAGAATCCCACCTATCCCAAAGCGCATAGATTTTTCAGAGTTCAACATTTATACCACGCTTACGAGAGCCAAAGAATGGTCAAATTATATCTTCTTCGAGCTTCCGCGGTATTTGAAAGAACTGGCTTGGCAATTTCCGATGCTTCTTTTCCCGTTCTGGTTTAAGCGTGCATTCAAAGGGCCTATTCCAAGGATTGAACTGAGACAAAAAAAGTTTCAAGGCTGGATTGATAACATCGAGTCCCTGGTTGGAAGTTGGGATATTGCATTGCAATCGATTTCCAAGATATATCCAAAAAAGGATAAATGGTCAAAAGAGTCCGTTATTGAACCATGGACTCCCGGTTTGAATCGAATTCCAGCTGTGGCAGCGGACTCTGAGCCAGTTACAAGATGGATTGTCAATTTGGACATTTCCAACCTTCTCCTTCGCGATGCTCGTTACTTTTACAAGTACAAATCAAGATGGTTCACTCTTGGATTTAAAAAGAAGGCGTTTGCCGATGGCGGAAGATTGGACATTGAAATGGGAAGAAAGAAAAGAAAGGATGCATTGAAAAAAAGGGGAATTTCTATTATCTTGGAGCTGGGCGTGCCTGAAATATTAGGCTCCCCAATAATTTCCCAACCATCCTCCTCGTCGTTCTGGGGCATTCTGTTGACTGGCATTAAAGTTAATGTCAATGATATCACTCTTCGCGTTAAATCTGATAAGCATCCCAGGATGTACCCGATTGTGTTGCCATTTACAAATTCTGCAATCAGAAGAAATATGGAAACCTTGATCAAGGACGAGACGATCAGACTTATCAATGGTTAGTTAACCCTGTAGCCCGATTATCGAATAAATTGCACTTGAATGCCAATGTTTTTAAATACTTTTACTCGTTTACAATTTGCTTTTGATTAAAAGCTAATTTTTAATCAAGTCCAACCATCCGCCATGAAAGCACTCTTTTTGCTTGTTGCTTTTGCGTTGATTTTCTACACTTTCAAAACTTCGGCCACAAGTAGCAAGTCTTCTATCGCAGATGATGGAACTCTTTTTTCCGAAAGCCGCACTGACCAAAATATAGCAATTGAGGACTATTTAAAAAAGACTTATTCCTATTTGTACCCAACGGAGGATACCTCTCAAATTGGCAGCTTTTTGAGCCTTTCGCCAGAATTGTTTACAAAAGCAAGTGCCATCAACTCCAAGGGCCCATTTCATAAGATCGTTGCCGGGCTTCCAAACCGCTTTGTTTTGGGACTGAAGAACTACTGGTTCGAGCCTTTGCATGTTCTTGGGGTTTCTGGTTTCATAACCACGCCAGACTTTAGTCGTTCTGTTCGCAATATTTCCTTTCAAAGGCAATGGACGTCTGTTTCCAGTTTAGAAACGGCATCCTTAATCCTTGAGTTCATCCCCGATTTTGAAGCGCCTTCTATGGGATTAATTTTGCTCGTCGAATTCACTGATAGACATAAAGAAGTCGTATACCATTCTATTGCATATAAGGAGATTATTCAGATAGTCTCTGCACCCGATTCTTTATATGATACCCAGACCTTTCTGTTATTAGTGATTTTCCTTGGCTTTTTCGGCTTGGCTGTTTCCTTTTTCAAAAGGAAAATTGCTCAAAAAAGCGTACATCAAAAGAAAAAATAAGAAAGCCATTGCATGCATACATGCTATGTGGAATCTAGAAATAAACGGTCATTTTTAGTGGAAATAAAGCGTATGGTTTGGCGGGGTGTGTGTGTTTGTCTGCGCACATATTCAAACTTTTGACAATATTTTTGTCACCATGGCATGAGTATAGAAAATGACACCCGATGCTATGGACGATTTTAATATCGCCGGAAAAGCACCTCTAAATAGGATTCTGACATGTCCTTGGCGGTACAGACACATCAGTGCTGATATCGGATTGTTTCCAGAACTAAAGGCAAACAACGATTCATAGATAATCGAGGAAACTTTGCAGTTATAAACCTAAAATGAGACTTGATGATGAGCTGACTTGACATCTTCTTTTTACATGATCCAAAGGAAGGACGGCAAGCTTGGAAAGACCTCCGGCTAGAAGGCCTGCAACAAAAGAATCATTGCCTTCCCGAAATTGGGAAATGGTCGTAAAGATTGCAAAGTTTAGTCCACTTTGCGGCATTACTGAAAGCAAAGACGGGAAAAGCCCCCTATAAAAGGAGCCGAAACCTTCTCTAGCAAGGCCTATCAATTCGGGAATCAAAATTTTCCTTTGGTGCTTCAAAATAACGAGTCTGGTCCGGAGAAGATCCATGGGATAGGTAGCAAAAGTCGATAAAAGACCCGAAATACATCCGCTAGAAAAGGTGTCCTATTTCTGAGAGTATAACAACATTACGATGTGCAGTTCTTTCGACAAAAATGAAAAAGACGTAAAGCTAATCGCCGCATAGGTGGAATAGTAAAGCGTCCCCATCAAGTTTCCCTTCCACAATGCCTGGTGTTAAAATATTTTGCCTACAAAAATCGATTCTTTCGTGGAGATTTTCCAAATTGTTTGAAGAAAATTGTTATAAACAACACGAGAACCCATTGGTTGCAGCTAAATATCTCAGTACGAAGGGTAGGAAACCTGCAGTCTGATTTTTATAACATCGAGCGGAGAAATTGCAGTTCTGGATATCATTCCCGAGACAGCTCCAGCAACCATTTCTCGTTGCACATCATCTCTCAACATGGCAGCGGGAAATTAAGTAAAATTAAAAACACTCGTAAAGATCCATAATTTTATTGGAAAAAAGGCGTCTAGTTTCGGCTTTAAGCTCCACTAAAAAATTAGCAACCAAGTTTTACATACACTATAATGTTGTTGATGGGCATATGAATTAACTTTACAAAAAAAGAAAGGAAGCCCATAATCAGAAAGCCGATCAGGACCACTTTGGCAATTTTAATGTATTCTAAAGGATAAATTAACATGATCGGAACCCTTTTCATCAGGTTTGTGGCATCTGTTGATAAATCGTACGCTGTCCTTGTAGAAGGCGATGAGTTGGTTGATCGGGTTATTGGAGTCCTTTTTCGAGCGGCCATCAGAGAGGAGGGAGGCAGCTGAGGACACGGACAGGAGAGATTTCGAAGAAGACATGATCAAATGCAAAAAGTAAAATTTATAAATTTCACCATAACAAACCCTTAAACTTTATTTACTTGGCAGTGATGTTTCAAATTTCAATTCTGGCAAGTGGTGGGTATCTCTGTATTTGAGAGAAAAGCTGTATCGCTGCAATAAAAGATTGGAATTACAGAGCTGCATTTTGAACATAACACTAGCAATAGTGATAGGTGAGTAATTCAGAGGTAAAATATAAATTTCAAGGGACGCATATTTAAATTTTTGAAATTTTTAATGGTTGATCTGAAAGACAGGTCATTGATATATGCCATCGGTGACGAGGTATACTTTGCTATGCTTATGTTAAGGATTGCATTACAGGCCTTTTGCTGGCAGGGATTGGCAACAGAGATCATGTGGATTCTGCAAATTTTTTTACCGTTACATCCAGTATTTACAATTGGAGTTATTTTAGAAACACAGCCAAGCGTAGTTGACGAAGTCTTCCGGTCGTTTTTGCAAAAAAAGGACATTTCCATCCTGCTTATAAACCAGAAAATTGCAAATATGATTCGGCAGACCGTCGATTCGCATAAGGAGATATTTCCTGTCGTCATTGAGCTTCCTTCTAAGGATCATCCCTATGATCCCTCTAGTGATTCGGTGATGAAGAGAGCAAAGATACTTTCTTCCGCAGACGACTAATAAATCTCAATATTTAAACCTTTTATTTTTTTTGGCTAGGAGCAATCTTCTGACATCCTTGAAATCCTGCATCAGAGTTTCCTTTTGTGAGACCCAATTTTGATCGTTGACGCTTTGATCATTGACGCTTTGATCATCAACTTTACCATTCACATTCCCTTCTAACCGACAAAAGTACAACCTGGAAGACGTATTTTGATGAAGCCGTTCAAATGGGTTAAATGCAAATGCAGGAGCAACAGGCATTGATCCTATCCATTCTTCAAGGGCCGAACATAAACTTCGGGATCCAGCAGTTGCTAAAGTATTGGGCGAAGAAGATTGTTTCGCCACATCAGAAGATGACAAGGCTTCAGTGCAAGATGATGGGGTTTCTACTGGGGCCGCAGAACTGGATTCTGCAATTGCCGAGAAAAGACCTAAATTTAGAAATGCCATAAAGCCATTACTTCCTTCTTTAAAAAGCAATGGATCAAAAAGGTGTCCAATTGAATTGGAGTTGGGCATTGAGTCCTTATTAATATGGGGTTGGTCTTCAAGAGAAGGGATCTGCTGTTCATCGGTTAAAGCTTGACCTACTTGAGGGACAAGCTCATTTTCGCTAGAAAAAAGCAGAGTTTGCGAATCTCGGCCTTTTGCAAAGTCGTCTATTTTCCACGCGAGCAGGTGGTAAGGCTTTGGCTTTTCGGAGCCAAAAAGCTTTTCCAATGCATTTTTATGAGACAAAGGATCAATGATTCGAATAGTGTTATCTGGAAACCGAAGCTTCATTGAACGGACTGAACGGCCATATCTCCCATGTTTCCAATGCTAAATTAAGGAAAAGCCACGCCTTGACAAACCTTGTAAACGGAAAAGTTTTTGTCTGTAACCTTGGGGTAGCTTAGTATGAGCGGGGAGTGAAAAACATATTTTTTCTTTTTGAGTACCGATTTTTTTAACCTTTCATTGGGATGGGGGGGCTCATCCACGCATGATGGGCGCTTAAAAGAAACCGGTCTGGCCTTTTCTATCAAAATTTTCTTCCCCTTCCACATGGATCCATTGTAAATCGACAGGCCTAAACATACAAGTTGACCAAATAGAATGAAATACATTTTTTCCAACAGGACGCGTCTTTGAAGGATAAATTTACATATCCAAATCCGCGAGAAACCTCTAAAAGTAACCTTAATGGGCTGAATACCGGGCAGGGAAGAATCGATGATTTCCACGCTATTTACATCCGCATATGCGGACAATCTTGACGTAATTTCAGCAGCAGTGACAGAGGTCGACAACCCCCCAATGTAGATTCGAGAGGGTGGTAAATCCTCCATTGAAAAATTAAAATGCCAAAAAATTTAATACAAAATTACATATTTACAAAGCTTCACGTAGGCGAGGAGGGAGCAGATTGACACTTGATGTGGCCCTTTGTTTTTGAAAATAGCTCCATCAGAATGAACGCCTCGGAGCATAGCACGGAAATCTGCTCATCGGTCCAATTTCCTGTGGGAAGGTTTTGCAACAATAGCAAGATATCCTGGAATAAGTAGATGCAGTGGAAACCTGGAAGTTGAGCCCTTTCACCTTATTTGACCATGTCATGAAAAAGGATGCTGTGATGTATGTATAAAAATTTAAAAATCCGTCCTCTCCCTCTGCAAAGCAAGTGTCCCACAGGCGAATTACCAGTCTAAACGGCAATTCGCGTATCAACAGACAATTTATCCATCGGAAAGCAAACTGGTTCAACTCGACGCCCTGTTCCTTGAGGTGCGACAATAAGAAGGCTACATGAATTAGATAAAACATTCAAGTACGGTCTATTCGCGCCATTAGATCTTCCAGCTTTGAGATTTGGTGCCAAATACCGGGCTGGCCAGACGTATAGCGATCGTGGATGGTGTCCAGAAATTTAGAAAAACACCAGAATGCATCTGCCTCCACAGCTTCTAGCTCTTCGGTCGAAATATTCTGCATATATTGGTCAGGGAGGTGCAGAAGATAGTCCAACACATTATTGTTCATACGCTTTGAGTTTCGAAATATCGGAAATGCACACAAATATTCTGAAAGGAAAATTGCAATGAACGGGGAAAGCAAGTCATTTAAGCCCTGGACATAGCCCGAAGACGGGTGTCTGATCGACCAACAATACAAAATTCGAGTTAAAATCTAACAATTACAGGAGGGGCGCGCATACTGCCTGGATTATTGGATCGCGAAAAAGCGATACCGAGGGAATTGTGCGAGGAACGTCGATTTCAATCTGGTGGAAAAGAGCCATGTCAAAGCTGGGCTTAATTTCCGGGTACACTCCCAAGGAGCGCGCAGATTGAAAATATTCGCGGCGACGGCGGTTTATATTCGGCCTTTGCTTTGCCTTTGCTGGCGGTAAATACCCCTAAAATAAATGAGCTTAAACTACAAATAAATATTTCCAACAGATAGAGCGATATGAAAATGGAATCCCCTTCCAGCAGAAATTACGAAGCTTTTCTAAATAACATTACGCGTGAGAATGCCATACCAATATCAACCACATCTGTTGAGAAAAGCAATTCGCAAATAACTTGATCGTTCTTGCTGAAGGATCTTGGAAAAAATTTGCTAACTGTCGATGAGGAAAGGGTTTCCGAAGGCTGTTGAGGAAAAATTTCGACATCTGAAAGGGATTTTAAGCAAAGATGGTCATCCCGCTCCGGAAATTGAGCATCACAATATAGTGAACCCCCTTCTAAACCAGCATTTATCGGCTTGGTTTCTTTTAGCTTTAACGGGGCAATTTCTGGATGTGTTGGAGATGAAATAAGATTGCACTTCCATGAACCAGTTTTGGAATCGTGCGAAAACAAAAGGATACTATCCAAAGATTCGCTCCTGGCTAAATCCGGATAGAGCATAATTGTGGAGGGCTTTTCCACATCTAAAGAAGCATCATCTTCAAGATGAGGACATGATTTGCTTCTTTCGGCATCAAAAGATTGATGCTGGATTATGGGCATTTACTAGTGTTTATAAATTTTCTTGACTAAATGGATTTTTAATTAATATTAATTAAAATTAAGTAGCCACACCGAAGCAGGGTGGCGCAGTGGAAGCGCGCAGGGCTCATAACTCTGAGGTCGGTAGATCGAAACTACTCCCTGCTATTTTTATTTCGCCCGAATTTAATTTTGGCCTAAAAAGCTGTTTGCCAAGCATCGTATGTTAACTTGTTATCCCTTCTTAGTGTGAATATGTTTTATTTAAAATATGGTATTTGGTTCGTAAAGTAATTCAATAAACGATAAATATTTCTCACGAGAGTTGATGTTTCAATAGATATAATGCTTGCACTCCGGTGTGGGATGGAAAGTAGCTGGAAAGTTAGCAGACATCAGCCTGAGTTGCAAGTCAGAGATTCTTTTAGGCAAAAAAAAAGGACAGCATCGAGTAGAGTGCAAACACTACAGAGACAGTCCCGATGAAAACTAAAATTTGATCAATTTGAAATCACTTACCAAAAACGGCATACTTTCCACTCTGCTCGAGCCCGGTGAGTTTTTGGCGCACATTCTCAACGGATGTGGTCATGTATTTGTCGATATTTGAAGCTTGAGCGTTGAGCTTTGAAACGAATTCTTGCTGCTTCTTTTTTTCCAAATTTATGTCCAGTTGAATGCCTGATTCATAGCTTTTGATCTCTTCGATTATTGAAGAGTTCAGGGCGGAGGATCGCTGAATAAGATTGGAATAGCCTTCCTGCACCGATTCGTCGCTGTTCTTTTGCACAGATTGATTTTCGATGAAGAAACGATCGATTCCAGAATTGTACGCCTTCAAAATGGAGTTGTATTCATCTTTGGTAAGATATGACTCTCTGATTTCTTTTGCTTTCGCCTCGGAAAGCCTCTCAAGGGTATTTAGTAGATACTTTGCATCTACAGACTTGAATCCGGCGGAAATGAGCGCCTGTAGGCGTCCGTCTTGCTGATCCACCACTCCAGTGGCAGTGATGCTTGTGGCCGAGGAGCCCCAGCAACGGCGGCTGCGATCTAAAAGGAGACTGGCAAAGGGTCTCGATATAAGCTTGTGACCTTTTAAAGAGGATGAAAATGCAACCATATGCGCTCGTGATGTTGTTGTGTTCACGTGCCCAAGCGATGATGGTTGCTGTTGCAGTAAGGTTATCCTTGGAAATCGTATGGCCATTAAAGTTTTAAAAGCTGATTTAATTGGGTGATGAATCAAGCTGTTGCCATCAACACAATTCATAACACTAACAAACACTGTGCTTATATTTGTCCTTTCGCAGTGCTACATGAATCAAGCAACAATGCTTTGGGTGGTTTGGATCTTTTTCGCCGCATGTGCCGTGCCATCCAAAGCGCATCCTTCTTATCAGCAAATAAACGAAAACTTGCAAACCTCTATGTTTGAAAATGATTTTCTCGGAGACGCTTCAATGACGAAATCTCTGTTTAATACATTCATGCCGAGTAGAAATATCGAGGAGTGCCAGATCCATGAAAAGGAAAACGAGGCCTCATCGTTGCCACACGATGATATTTTCATCATCAAGCCTTCGGACATTAAAG